TCTGCCTGAGCCCTCCTCCCCACCCACCCCAGGCCAAGGCAAGAGGAGGAGGTGGGCAAAAATAAATATGGGAGCTCAGCACATCCTCCCCAAGTAGGGCCGGGATGTCTCACCAAGCCCGTGCTGGCCGTGAGGCACTACCTCCCTCCGGGGAAGAACCAGTCGGCGTGCTGGATGAGCGGCTCGATGATGGCCACAATCTGCAGCGAGACCGTCGTCATCATCTCCGTCATGTTCCTGCAACGCAGCCTGGCCTTATTCCTGGCAGGATCTGGAACCCAGGGCCTGCCCCCCCACCTCACCCCCTTCCCCAGCACCTCTCTGGCGCGCTCGCTTCCCACCCGGCAACCTTACCCATCCGCCTGCGGCCACAGGAGGTTGGGCCCCAGCACGATGGCCACGTTGCTCGGCGTCATTTTATTCGTGTCCTGGTACTCAGTCAGCTTGGCCAGGAACTTAATCAGGTACCTGGAAAGCAGAGCCAGGCCACGGTGGGGTGTCAGGATGGCACCTTCCCTGTCCCCTCCCCGGGTCCTGCCAGCTCCGGGCTCACCTGATGTTGTTGTAGTTGGCTTTGGGCAGCTTCTCGCAGGCGTTCCAGAGAGCCTGGAGCCGCTTCTCCTGCTCTGGGATGCTGAGGGAAGGAGGGTGAGAGGGTTATCCCCAACCCCATCCCACCTCGGGGACCCCGAGAGACCCTCAGGCTGTTGCTGACATTGTACAAGTAAATTAATCCAAAAATCCTGGCCAAAATGAGCAGGAAACCTTTTGGTGGCAGGCTGGATGCTGGTCCTCTCCGGACCTACTTTCAGGCACTGCTCAGGTGGTTCCCACCCCAAAAGGGAGAGGTTCCTCCTCCTGACTCGCTCTGCCCCTCACCCCTTATCCCCAGCACCTCCCACGGTGGAGCAGGCATGCTGGTGCCACCCCAGCTGGCCCGATCCTGCTGAGTTTCGGGGTTCTGTGGTGCAGACCACCTCATCGAAGCAGCGGGGAGCTCCCTCAGCCACCTGTCCTCCCTGGGATTTGCACACCAGTCCAGAAATGACCCCAGCACCTGGCACCCAAGGACCTGCTGAAACGTGCTGGGAGAGCTCAGCCACCTCGGCCAGGGTGCTCCAGACCACACTGGGGGACGTCAAGGCGACCCTCGCTGCCCCTCCTGGACGAGCATCACAGGAACCCTCCTGGCTCTCAGACCCCAGAGGAAACATCCCAACCACTGTGAGCCACGTCAGAAATAACTCAAGGCTGCCAAACCACCCACGGGGACCCAAGATGCCACCATCTGTGTCACAGAGGAACGGAGGGGATGCCCCAGACTCACTTGGAAGCCTGGATCCACTCCTCGTACAACTCAAACGTCATGAGAGGCTCCGGCAGCTCTCGCAGGTAGGACTTGAGGGCTCCTGCAGCACACAGGGGAAACAGGGCTCAGCACGCAGGAGGCGCTGGCCAACAGGCACCAAGTAGTTTCTCTCCTCAGAATTTTGACTTGCATCCCTCCCAACCTACCACATCCCACATCCTGCACCTGCATTTGTCCCCCCGTATATTCTGTCTTTGCTATTCAAAGGCTTTGGGACAAATCACGGAAGGGTTGAGGTGGGAAGGAATTTTTGGAGGTCACCTGGTCCAACCCCCTGCTCAAGCGGGACCACCAGAGCTGGTTGTCTGTGATTGTGTCCTGGTGGCTTTTGAGTATCTCCATGGATGGAGACACCTTCCTGGGCAACCTGTGGCAGTGCTTCGCCACCTGCACAGTAACAAAGCGTCTCCTGATGTTCAGAGGGAATCTCTTGTGTTCCAGTTTGTGCCCACTGCCTCTGGTCCTGGCACTGGTCACCACTGGAGAGAGCTCTCTCTCCTTTGCACCCCACTGGCACGTATTTATATTCATTGAGGAGAGCTCCCTGAGCCTTCTCCTCTTCAGGCTGAACAGTCCGAGCTCCTTCAGCCACTCCTCCTAGAAGAGATGCTCCAGGCCCTTCATCGTCTTCTCTGGGGTTTCTCCAGGACGTCCATGTGTCTCCTGTAGTGCCCAGGACTGGAACTATCACCTCCCTTGACCTACTGGCATCATTCCTACCAGCACAGCCCAGGACACCATTGGCCTTCAGTGCGCCACAAGGACACGTTGCCAGCCTGTGGTCAGCTTGGTGGCCATCAGGACCCGCAGGGCCATCTCTGCCAAGCTGCTTTCCAGCTGGGTGGCCACCAGCATGTCCTGGAGGTGTGGGGCTGCTCCTTCCCAGGGGCAGGACTTGGCACTTTCCCCTTGATGAACAACTCCAGGTATTTCTCAGCTCTTTTCTCCTGTCCAGGTCCCTCTGGACAGCAGCATGACACTCCTCCCAGTTTGCTGAGGGTGCACCCTGCCCCATTGCCCAGGTCATTTATGAAGGCGTTAATCAGGACTGGACCCAGTATCAACCCCTGGACTACACCACTAGCTACTGTTGTCCAACTAGACCTCATGCCACCCATCACCACGCTCTGGGTGCCCACAGTTGGCACTTGGGGACTGGAAGGACCATCCCACACATCACCACCCCTCCTGCCCGGCAGCAGCCTCTACCTGCGATGGCGTGTGGGTCGGCCGAGTACTCCTGCACATCCACCACGCAGCAGTCCAGGGCAGCCTTGAGCTTCTTCAGCTTGGAGGCCGAGGGAGCCACGCGGAACAGACCCTTGGGCAGAGGACACAGGAGTGCGTCGGGCAAGAGTCAGGACCAGGGATATCCCCAAAACCCGCCACAAAGTTCCTTGGGAGCACCTATGCCCCCTTCCATCGCGCCCGACCGAGGGAGGTGGGACAGGGGACCCACCTCCTCCTGCATGCCGCACTCCAGCAGCATCGTCACACATGCCTCCACGGGGAAGGCGATCTCCCGCCCGCTGACGGCCAGGTGCTCCTCCAAGGGCTTCCCGAAGGAGGGCTTCTCCATCCACGCCTCTGTGATGGGTAGAGGGAGTGAGAGGAAGAGGAGGAGGAGGGGGAGGACACAGCTGGGACAGAGCCGGCGTCCCCTCCCCAAAAGGACCTTGGATTGCAGCTTTTCAGCAGCAAAATATTCCATTTGGGTGTTGCTACAATGATAAGACCCTGCACCTCTGTCCTGGGCGGCCCAGGAAATACTTTTTTAAAGATGAAATCCAAACAAAATGTTTTCCAATCAGCACACGGGACATTTCAAAGGGGCCGGGTAATGTTTTCCAGAGGAGGAGGAACCACAGGCAAACCTTTGCAATATATTCTCCCTTCTTCCATCTGCCAGAGTTTGAGGCAGGAATATTTTGTGGGATTGAAGAGGAAAAAAATAAAATACACATCACTACTCCCTGCCCTGATGTGGCGAGGGCAGCACCCCGAGCCTTGCCCTGGAGAATGCATTGCTCACAGGGCTTTCCTCAACCTCGGTCCTCCAGCCCCGCTCTGGGGGCAAAGAAAAGCCCCAAGAACCGCACTCCCCCCGCCATTAAGCCGTCTGGGTCCTGCCCACCCTGCGACTGAGCGGGATGGTGATGCCCTCCCCGGCAGAATGCGGATGGGCCGAGCCGAGGGAGGCTGCTCAGCCACAAACCCAGCCCCACGTCAGAGCTGCCAAAAGCCCTGGTGTGGCTCCAGCACAGGGCAGAGCCCTCGGTGTCACATGCAGGAGCGGGACAGACCCCGTGGACACTTACCCTGCTGGGCTTTAATTTGAGGCAGGACGTTCTGCAGAAGCGCTAAGGATTTGCGATGGTATTCTGCCTGCACCTCGATCAGCTGGGGAGGGGGGAGAGATGCCACCGGCTGTCACCCCCACATCTGGGGATGGGGATGGAGGAGTCCCGTGGGGACGGGCAGCACTTACAGTTTGGAAATAGTTTGCATAGTCTACTTCTTTGGCCACAAAATTGTACATGTCCGCCGAGAGCTGGTCCTGCGGAGAGCAGAGGATGTCACCGTCCCGCCCGCGCTGCCCTCTTGCCACCGTGACGACCCTTTCGGAGGTCACCGGGAGGGACCAGCCTCTTCCCCTGCCTCACCACTCGCTTGAGATGTCCTCAGGATGTTAAACACCCGGCAGCACTGTGGGGATTTACTTTCTGCTGCCATGCAAACAGCCCCTGCCTTATCCCCTCGCCTCTTCCCAGAGCTCACCATCAGCCAGCGCTTTGAAACAAGCTCTCTGGGAGTGACATTAACTCGGCAACAGCCCGTCAGCCCAAGGGAGCTGAACCCCTCAGGACAAATGAGACCTCCAGTTTGCGTGGTCTTGTCCCTCAGATATCCCCTTGGATAACTTGGATTCCTCCCCGCTTTGAGCAAAACCAGCAAGGTTTTAAAAAACTGTGAACCTGTCCTAGTTCCAACATCCACCACCAATACTGGGGGCAGCTCGTGGCCCAGCTGGTTTGCTGGGGTTTGCTGGGGTTTGCTGGGGATTGCTGGGTAGCCAGGGCTGCAATGCTGTAAGACTCCATGAGTTTGGGACTGGATTTTAAAGGCTCTGCAGATTCTAGTTGTGCCTCTGGACAAAAAAGCCATGATTTCAGACACCCATCAGCTCCAAAACCTGCCCGAAGCACTGGGTTTGCTCGACTCTTTGCATTTTCTGCAAATTAAAACCACTCAAAACCTTACTGAACCCTGCAGCCTGCGATGAAGGAGCTGGTGGCAGTGTCCCCCCTTGCTCGGACACTTCTCCCACCCACCAGGAGCGGTTGGGGGGGTCGTGCTCCTGCAGGATGGCTGGGGCCAGGGGCGCTCAGCACACGCCAGCACTTCCAAGGGCTGGGTATGCTCGGTGCTGAGCTCAAAAAAAAAGGACGGATCTCCTGGGAACAGGATGCTCTCCAGGATACAGAGGAATTGAGGCTGTCCTGCTTGGCTGACGAGCATCACCCACTGCCACCAAGCTGCCTTTGGGCTTGGGGACCAGCTGGAGGAGGGTTTATCAGGGGCAATGGTGTAAAAAGAAGAACAGAGTAAGAGAGGCAGCAGGTTTTCCGCAGTGCTTGGGATGCCAAAGTCCCCCCACCCCAGCAAGGAGCGATCCCTGCCAGGTACCCTGCAAATCTCCACTCTGTTGGCCGCCTCCTCCATCTCTTCCCTGAGAGCATCGGCTTTGGCACCCGAGGGCTGCAGGTTGCCGGCCAGACTCGAGGACTTCACAGACTGTTGCCACCTGCAGAGAGAGGGCAGAGCTGTCGCAGGGAGGGACAGGGACCTGGGGGACCCCAACAGACGCGGAGGGCAGCCCAGAGAACCCCCCTTGGCCAAACCCACCACAGTCCCCAGGGCTGAGCACTATGGAGATGGTCCCAACCCAGGCTGAGAGGCACGATCCTCTCTCATCCCCAGTCCCCACAACCAGCTGCATGCACTGGGCTCCAATTAAGTGATTATTTTCAGCAGAAGAATGAGCCACTTCCAGGCAGAAGGAGAGAAGAAGGCGATTGGAGAGCCTGGACATGATGCTGGGGACTACAGCCACCTCCCAGATCTGTTCCCAGGTCTTGGCCAACTCAATGGTCAACCCAAAGGGCAGACCGCCGGGTCCCACTGCATCATCTGGGACACAGGACCATCCCAAGGGACATCCCAGCTCCACTCCAGCGCTGGAGCACTCGACTCCACTACAGCGGCTGGAGCACTCGACTCTACCATCGCGTAAGACCTCATTAAAACAGGGAAAAGAGGGAAAAAAAAAAAAATATTTGTGCCAGAAAAAAAAATACTCTTTTCTGCGAGATGGAGGCAAGCAAAAGAGATCTACAGTTTCTGCAGACAAAGGCAGAAACCTGGGCTGATCGCACAGCTTGACTTAAAGGCACACAGTGACACTGTCAAGATTTACTGTCCTGAGGGAGCCACGGTGCCTTCCCCAGTGCTACCCATCACTTGTGATTTTTTAATACAGCAGCTCTGAAGCTGCTTTATACCGCGTCCTGGAGGAGTCCATGTCCAGCACGAGCTTCGCCAAGTGCTTCCTCTGCTTTTGGATATTCGGGATTTCCACCTGCAGCAACATGCAGGAACAGGAGGAGATAAACATCCCCGGAGAGGGTAAGTCCTACCTGACAGCGCTGCTGGAAGTTTAGGCTGCTGCAAGCCAGGCAGGTAAGCTCTTTATTTTAACATCGTCAGGCAGATGGCACAGCTCATCCCTCCTCCATGTGCCCACCCAGGCTGTGTCACCTCCCACCAGCTTCGATGGCAGAGCCCACGTCCCTCAGAGGAGCATCCTTGGGGGAGCAAAGCCTCCAGCATTGGGGGGCTGGTTTGAGGCAGGGAAAGGGCTTTAGCGGGTGGCAGTGCAAAGCCCTGCACTCACAGGCACCTTTTACCAAGGGATTTGGCAAAATAAAGCTGTGGTGCAGCCCCACTCGCTCACCCCAGTAACACTAGCAGTGAGATAAAGCTCTTGTTCCTGCCAGGGAAGACAAAGCCAGAACCAAGCCCCGCACGTTTTTTTGCAAGGTGCAAAAGCAGGGTAAAAGCACTGGGTAAATCGAAAGAAAAAGTGGGCAGCGGTGCGGAAAACGGAGGCAAAAAAAAGAATATTCCAATCAACACTGGTACGTTTTGGAAAAAAAACAGGTTAGAAATAAGTGGTTTGTGCCTTCAGGAGAGGTAAAGAGCAGGAGCCCAGCAGGACCATCACGCCGGCCAAACAGGTGCGTATCTCTTGCCAATTAGAGCAATTAGCCAACATCTCCCAGGGGAAGGTCTCTAAGAGGGACCAGGAACCAAACACCCTGCCAAAGCAGTGAAACCTTGCTTTTTATCCCGGCTTGCTCAGGCTGCAAACCCCGTCGCAGTGACACCCCGAGCCCAGCAACATCCCCGCTCACCTCAGCCAGCACAAAGAGGGGCTCGATGACATCCTTCTCCACCTGCAGCTCGAAGTGGATGAGCTCCTGAG